TTTTTTTTTTTTACTTTTTATTTTTATTTATTTATTTATTTTGGGACAGAGTCTCCAGCTGTCATCCTGGGTAGAGTGCCATGGCATCACAGCTCATAGCAACCTCAAACGCTTGGGCTTAAGTGATTCCCTTGCCTCTGCCTCCCAAGTTGCTGTGACTACAGGTGCCCACCACAATACCCAGCTATTTTTTTTGTTGCAGTTGTCATTGTTTTAGCTGAACTGGGCCAGGTTCGAACCCACCAGTCTCAGTGTAGGTGGCCAGAGCCCTACCCACTGAGCTACGGTGCTGCCCCAATTTTTCTATTTTTAGTAGACACGTGTTCTCAGTCTTGTTCAAGAAATCCACTGGCCTCGGCCTCCCAGAGTGCTATGATTATAAGCCTGAGAGGTTCAGCTCTTCAATGGCAGGGCTCAGGAACTGGGCTGGGGGCTGACCCATGCCTGAGATGACTTCCTCCCTGAGGTGCTACACACCTTTGAACACACCAGGCTATTTCCAGCCCCCAGCCATAGTCATGCTGTTTCCTTTTCTGGTAGCCTGTCCTGCAGTTTTGTTGTTTTTTTTTTTTTTCAGTTTTTGGCCAGAGCCACAGGCACTGCCCCTGTCCTACAGCTTTTTGCCTATGGAACTTCTACCCATCTGCCAAGTTTTGGACCAGCCTTCAGGAAGCTTCCAGAACCCTTGACTGACCCTCTGTTCTGTACTTAAACCAAACTCTTCCCATGACATTAATCACACCAAGACTCTATTCCTAGTTTCCAAGTCTTTAAAAAAAAAATGTACCAGCTCAGTGTCTGTAGCTCAGAGGCTAGGGCACCAGCCACGTACACCAGAACTAGCGGGTTCGAATCCAGCCCAGGTCTGCCAAACAACAATGGCAACTCCAGGCTCGGTGCCTGTGGCTCAAGTGGCTAAGGCGCCAGCCACATACACCTAAGGTGATAGGTTCGAATCCAGCCTGGACCCACCAAACAACAATGATGGCTGCAACCAAAAAAATAGCCAGGCATTGTGGCGGGCACCTGTGGTCCCAGCTACTTGGGAGGCTAAGGCAGGAGACTCACTTGAGCCCAGGAGTTGGAGGTTGCTGTAAGCTGTGATGCCACAGCACTCTACCCAGAGCGACAGCTTGAGACTCTGTCTCAGAAAAAAAAAGTACCTATCAGGAAAAAATATTTACGTGTACACCCCCAATAAAAGCATATTTCTTTATAAATTATATACATGTGCCTCTGTCAATCATATATTAAATATGAGTAAAGTTCTTACTTTTCTTTTTTTTTTCTTGAGACAGAGTTTCAAGCTATCCTCCTGGGTAGAGTTCTGTGGCATTACAGCTCACAGCAACCTCCAATTCCTGGGCTCAAGTGACTCTCCTTCCTCCGCCTCCCAAGTAGCTGGGACCACAGATGCCTGCCACAACACCTGGCTATTTTTTGGTTGCAGCCATCATTGTTGTTTGGTGGGCCCGGGCTGGATTTGAACCCGCCACCTTAGGGGTATGTAGCTGGTGCCTTAGCCACTTGAGTCACGAGTGCCGAGCCAACCTCAAACTCTTGGGCTTAAGCCATTCTCTTGTCTCAGCCTCCCAAGTAGCTGGGACTACAGGCGCCTGCCACAAGGCCTGGCTATTTTTTGGTTGCAGTTGTCACTGTTGTTTAGCAAGCCTGGGCCGTGTTCGGACCCACCACCCTAGGTGTATGTGGCTGGTGCCCTGTGGACTAAGCTACAGGCACTGCCCGTAGTTCTTACTTTTTATGAGAAATGAAGATGAATACAGGATCCAATCTGATATTTTCTTCCCACACACCACTGACCACAGCCAAATTACAGATGGCCACTCTAACCCAAAGAGCTCCTGGGCAGCAGCGTGGAGCTGGTACCTTTAGCTAGGGGGTAGGGGTCTGAGAAGAACTTGGGAGGGCTCCAGATTGTTCCCTGGAGGCCTGGGCCAGTAGGGGAGGAGAGGGTCGGGAGCTGTCTCATCTCCCCAGTGCAGCCTAGCCTCCACCTCTTGAGTCCTGGGAGGTGGGGGTGAAGTTGAGCCGGGATTAGCTGTAGGCTCCTCCACCTGCAGGTTGGCCAGAGAAGGGGGTGCAGATAGGTGAATGCACCATGCCGCTGCAGGATGAAACCCTCCGAGAGGTGTGGGCCTCAGACAGGTCTGAAGCCCCTTATGACCCCACCTGAACACCAGAGAACCCAGATGGAGGAGCTGGGGGGAGAGGGACGGGTTGGACAGGGAAGGGTGAGAGAGACAGGCTGATTCCTTTGCTACCCTCAGCGGGCACGAGGAAGAAGACCTGAGCCCAGAGGTCCAGCGGCGCCCCAAGCAGGTATGTCACCCCGCTTGGAAAGGAAGCAGAGAGGTGTCCCCACTGCCTGTAAATCCACGCAGGGTAGGGAATCTAGGGGTAGGAAAGGCCCCCCTCAGCAGCGCCTGGGGGTTGCTTATCTGGAGTTGAGGAGGCAGATAGGTGTTTAGGGGGACGGATCACCCATGAGAGGAACTGGGACTTTGGGGCACTGGAGGGGGTCGGGCCGTAGTCTGTGAAAGGGGTCATCTTTCCTTATCCCAATAAGGGGGCTACGGTCCCTCCAGATAATCCGCAGTTATTTCTGGCGGCTCAAGGGATTAGAGGTGACAGGCAGCCCTCAGAACCCCCCTTTCCTTCCTCGGCCTCCCTTTGACCCCCACTCTGCAGCGACCCGCCCCGGGACAGAGGCTGAGGAAGAAGAAGCCGGAGGCTCCTGAGTCCCCCGGGCCCACGGGGTCCAAGCCCCGGAGAGCTGGAGGCGCGGGTGAGGGTCGGGGCAGGAAGGGACCCGAGGGAGGTACTGTGCCCTGGACCCCCGGGGCGACCAGGCGGGGAAGGGGGAAAGAGAATGAACCCGGGGTGTAGGACTGTGTGTGTGGAGGGGCTGCAGGCGCAAACGGAGGCCAAGACGGACCCGCAGGGTGGGGAGGCCGAGGGCGGCGCGCCAGGCTTGGGGGAGGGCGCTGCCTTGTGGACCCGCCGGAGCCCGCCTGAACCCCGCGTCTCCGCTCAGCCGGGCGGAGGGGGCGGCCGCGGGAGGAGCCTGCCCCCGCCCCGGCCAAGGCTCCGGAGCCCACCGTCTACACCAAGTTCCTCAGGGACCCCGAGGCGAAGAAGCGCGACCCCCGGGAAACCTTCCTGGTAGCCCGAGCCCCAGACGCCGAGGACGGTGAGAGAGGGTGGGAAGGAAGGGCGGCAGGGCGGGTGAACAGGAGGGAAGGGGCTGGGCTGAAACCACCGCACGCGCAGCAAACAGCCTCCATGTATCTGGCATTGCCCTTGAGCCAGGTCTTGTGCTAAACACCAACCTTATGAGGCTGATTCTCTTACTCTTTCCCCCATTTTACGGACGAGGAAACAGACATAGCGAAGTTAACGGTGTTTGTTTTGTTTTGTGTTTTGTGACCCTCGGTAGAGTGCTATAGCTTCATAGCTCACAGCAGCCTCAGACTCTTGGGCTCGTGCGATTCTCTTGCCTCAGCCTCTGGAGTTGCTGGGACTACAGGTGCCTGCCACAATGCCCAGCTATTTTTTAGAAACGTGGTCTCACTCTGGCTCGGGCTGGTCTCCAACTCGTGAGCTCAGGCAATTCACCTGCCTAGGCCTCTCAGAGTGCTGGGATTACAGAACAGGGCCTGAAGTTAAAGGTTTTGCCCTAACTGCAGCTGGGAACCAGAAGTAGCCCAGATGGGTCTGACTCAAGGTCAGAAGCAGAGACAGAAAAGGACAGGTAGAGGCACAGTGGATGCAGTAGAAAGGGAAAGACAAGAGGAGATGGAATGAAGAGAGGAGGGTGGCAGGGAAGGAGGAACAGGATTCTTCCAACTCCAGCTCACTCCCCTAACTGGTAGGTCCTGAGACTGGGGGGCCACCCGCCTTCTTCCAGGAGGGTGCCAGAACTCCTACTGTCCCTGTTTCAAAAGGACAGGCTCTCACCCCTCTGTCCAATATCCACTTCCCAGCAATCCATGGGAATTGGACTCCCCAGAGAAGGGGGGCACCCAGATCCCCCATTATGGGGAGTTTGTACCTACAGAGGAGGAGGAGGAGGAAGATACAGATGATGAGGAAGAGGAAGAAGAAGAAAAGAAAGAGAAAACCCCTCTGCCTCCTAAGAAGCCCCTCAAAGAGAAGTCTTCTGCAGACGTGAAAGAGAGAAAGGCTAAGGCCCAGAGTGCAAAAGGTGGGTGTCAAGGGTACAGAAGGATACAGAGGAACTGAGACCTGGGAAGGGTACCCAGTGCTCTGACCAGAGGGTTTTTCCTCTGATTGTTTCTACCTTAAGGACACACAGATCAATATATGCCATCCTCCACCCCAGTCCTATCTGTCCCTGCCCAAGATACATTGAGCCAAGATGGCAGAAGATTTAGTTGTAATTTATGTTTAGTTTTGTTTTTAACTCAATGTGAATTATTATTATAATTTTTTTTTTTTTTTTTGCAGTTTTTGGCTGGGGCTGGGTTTGAACCCGCCACCTCCAGCATATGGGGCTGGTGCCCTACTCCATTGAGCCACAGGCACTGCCCTATTATAAATTTTTTTTTTTTTTTGAGACAGAGCCTCAAGCTGTTGCCCTGAGTAGAGTGCTGTGGCATCACAGCTCACACCAACCTCCAGCTCCTGAGCTTAAGCAATTCCCTTGCCTCAGCCTCCCATGTAGCTGGGACTACAGGCACCCGCCACCATACCCAGCTATTTTTTAGTTGTAGTTGTCATTGTTGTTTGGCAGGCCTGGGCTGGATTCGAACCCGCCAGCTCTGGTGTATGTGGTTGGCGCCTTAGCTGCTTGAGCTACAAGGTGCCGAGCCTATTATTATAATTTTTATAAAAGTATCAAAGTGACTATAGTAAAAGGAAATGCTTTTTGGGTGTTTTGTTTTTTGGGGTTTTTTTTGAGACAGAGTCTTGTTTTTTTTTTTTTTGAGACAGAGCCTCAAGCTGTCCCCCTGGGTAGAGTGCCGTGGCATTACAGCTCACAGCAACCTCCAACTCCTGGGCTCAAGCGAGTCTCTTGCCTCCGCCTCCCAAGTAGCTGGGACTACAGGCGCCCGCCACAACGCCCGGCTATTTTTGGTTGCAGCCGTCATTGTTGTTTGGCGGGTCCGGGCTGGGGATTTGAACCCGCCACCTTAGGTGTACATGGCTGGCGCCTTAGCCGGTTGAGCTATAGGCGCCGAGCCAGAGACAGAGTCTTGTTATTGTTGTTTTTGTTTTATTTTTAGAGAGAGACCAGGGCATTATAGCTCACAGCAACCTTAAACTCCTGGGCTTAGGTGATTCTCTTGCCTCAGCCTCCCAAGTAGCTAGGACTACAGGCACCCACCACATTGCCTGGCTATTTTTTTGTCGTAGTTTGGCCAGGGCTGGGTTTGAACCCACCACCCTCAGTATATGGGGCCAGTGCCCTATTACTGAGCCATAGGCACTGCCCGAGACAGAGTCTTATTCTGTTGCCCTGGCTAGAGTGCTATAGTGTCAGCCTAGCTCATAGTAACCTCAGACTCCTGGGCTTTAGTGATCTTCTTGCCTCAGCCTCCGGAATAGCTGGGACTATAAGTGCCTGCCACAACACCCAGCTAGTTTTTCTATATTTTTAGTAGAGACAGGGTCTTGGTTTTGCTCAGGCTGCTCTCAAACTCCTGACCTCAAGCAAGCCTCCCACCTCAGCCTCCCAGTGCCAGGATTCTAGGCATGAGACACTGTGCCTAGCCAGAAATTGCTGAAGAAATTCTCTGTGGTGATGCATCCCTGGGTGGTGGCTCCCTGGCTTGGGTACCTCATCATACAGCTATCAGTGCTGGAACCCTGGGCCTCTGAGGGAGAGAGAGCATAGTCTAACAGTGGCCAAAGGTTTCTAGGCAGAGACAGGGCAGAAGGCAGGACTTGGAGGCTCAATTGGAAGGCCTTCATTCATTCATTAACTGCTTGTAAATCTGCTGCTGTTTGTCCAACATCTTTTTGGACTTAGGGAGAAAAAAAACCCAAGAGAATCAGAAAGTAGACTGTGGGCCTTGTACAGCTCTAGCCACCCTGAGGACTGAGAAGCAGATGAGTGCTGAAAGGCAGATAAGTGGGCTGGAGGCAACCTTCAGCTCCAGTATGCTCCTTCTTTGTCCAACCCCATCTTCCATTTCCAGGGAACCTGGGAAGCCCTGACCCCTCATCCAAACCTCTTCGAGTTAAGAAGAAAGAAGCCCCAGTAGGGGAGGGGACGAAGATGAGGAAGACAAAGAAGAAAGGTGAGCCTGGCCTGGGGAGGAATAAGGGATCCTGGATGTGGTGAGAGGTGTGATCCTGTCACATCCACGCTTGCAGAGTCTGGGGAGGCTGACAAGGACCCCTCAGTGAGCCCGGGCAGATTGAAGAAGAAGATCCCTGCAGCCATGTTTTTGGTTGGGGATGACAGCCCTGCCGAAAAAGCTTTGAAGAAAAAAGGTGGGAGACGATGGCTTCTGGTGCCATGATACCTGGAAGAGGTCCTGGGAGTGGGGAGCTGGGGGACCCTTATGTTATTGGTTCAGTGCCAGGTGAGGAGTATGGGTTCTAGACTCAGAAAACATGAGGGCATCGTGACCTCTACTTTGATAGCTGTGTGGTCTCAGGCAGACGTCAGCCTTTCTGAGGTTCTGATGATGAGAACATGAGATTGACCCTCTTGTGGCTGTGGACAGAATCCAAATGAAATGCACGTGTTGGAAGCACTCTGCAAATCAGGGTAGAGAAGGAACACCTTTGTTTCTTCTTCCATGCCCAGGCACTCCCAAAGGCCCTGAAGAGGAGAGGAAGGCGGAAGAGGAGGAAGAGGATGTAGCAGCTGTGGCGACCAAGAACAGCAATCAGAAGGGCAAAGCAAAAGGAAAAGGCAAAAAGGTTGGGGCCCAGAGAAGAAGAGGGCTGAGGTCCCTTCAGGAAGCAATAGCAGGGGTCTGGCCTTGGAGGCCTGCAGGGTGCCTTGGTGTCACTTGGGATTAAAATCTAAAACAAAGGGCACCACAAACAAAGGTTTGTGGGAACAGAGAAGGAAGGCATTTGTGAGGTCAGCCTGGTCATCTGGTCTCTGAGGCCTCCCCTCTGCAGTGTAACCATCAGACACAGCTAGAGTTGCCCTCACGGCCTCCGTGTAAAGAGACACACAATTTCTGTACTAGGGAATTGGTGCACACAAACATAAGGGCACATGTGTACACACCTTTGGGCACACTGATGGTCAGTTGTACCAGTTGTTTCCTGCTACCCAGCCCAGGACCTCCCAACCTCCCAGCAACTTAACAATCCAGCAACTAAAAGGTTAACACCTGATTGTCAGGGGCCTCCAGCATACCAGTGTCCATTCTGACAGGCATTCTTCACAGGCAGAACAGGTTGTTAAATATTTTGAATATTGCCCCTGCACATAAACAGGACTCAGAAACCAACACACATAAGCTGGACTAAGTAGAAGAGGAAAGTCCAACCAAGAGAGAGAAAGTGATGAAAATCTCTGAGAAATAGGTTTCCACCAGTGGCAAAATCACCTCAATGGGGTTCGACACCTGTAGCTAAGTGGTTACAGTGCCAGCCACATACACTAAGGCTGGCAGGTCTGAGCCCTGCCAAACAACAATGGCAACTACAATTTAAAAACCAAACAAATAGCTGAGTATTGTGGCAGGTGCCTATAGTCCCAGGTACTTGGGAGGCTGAGGCAAGAGAATTGCTTAAACCCAAGAGTTTGAGGTTGCTGTAAGCTATGATGACACAGCACTCTACAGAGGTGACATAATAAGACTCTGTCTCAATCAATAAATAAATAATCACCCCAATGGTAGGGACTGGGTTTTAGCATTATGGGTTTATTAGTTTGTGCAGGAGTGGTCAGCTCTTGGGGGACTGATTCACATTAATCAAAATCACCAGATGCTGATGTACAAACTGAAAGACCAGTTTATTATCTCCCAGGAGTAATATAACTGCACAGCAGCTTTCAATACAGTAGGCTCTTGAAATTCACAGCTGTGGAAGTGTTTGAACAAGCTCTGGCTTTCTCCATATCACATTCCAGAACAGCCTCGAGTGGAGAACAGATGGTCACTTACCCCTGAGCTAAGGACCTGCTGCCCTACACCAGCCTCACCTCACACTGCAAATCTGCCTAAGCAAAAATGGTCACCTACAGCACATCAGGGCTTCCTGGTGGCTCATGAATAGCATTTAATCCTCAAAAGCACCACCCTGGGCTCGGCGCCTATAGCTCAACCGGCTAAGGCGCCAGCCACGTACACCTAAGGTGGCGGGTTCGAATCCCCAGCCCAGGCCTGCCAAACAACAATGACGGCTGCAACCAAAACATAGCCGGGCGTTGTGGCAGGCGCCTGTGGTCCCAGCTACTTGGGAGGCTGAGGCAGGAGACTCGCTTGAGCCCAGGAGTTGGAGGTTGCTGTGAGCTGTAATGCCACGGCACTCTACCCAGGGGGACAGCTTGAGGCTCTGTCTCAAAAAAAAAAAAAAAAAAGCACCACCCTGGCTGGCAGTCCATGCTTTCCCTGTTGGAAAGTTGGGCTCAGAGTCTTGGCTCTCCCTACGTGGAGAACAGAACATGAGGACAAAAGGCACCAGGCAAATAGCTGGGCATTGTGGCAGGCCCCTGTAGTCCCAGCTACTTGGGAGGCTGAGGCAAGAGAATCACTTAAGCCCAAGAGTTTGACGTTGCTATGAGCTGTGACGCCATGGCACTCTTCCCAGCACAACATAGTGAGACTCAAAAAAAAAAAGACACCAGGCTATGAGGACAGAGGGGCTTTTGTAGAGTCAACAGGCCAAATTACCAAATTGTTAATTCAAAGTTTCTCAATGAGCAAAGTGAGCTTATTTATTCATTCATGTATTAACTATGTATAGCTGTGTAACAAATCACCCCCCCAAACTTAATGTTTTAAAACAGCATTTACAGGCGGCACCTATGGCTCAAAAGGGTAGGGTGCCAGTCCCATATGAGGAGGTGGTGGGTTCAAACCCAGCCCCGGCCAAAAACAAAACAAAACAAAAACAATAAAACAGCATTTACTGTAGCCAGGCGTTGTGGTAGGTGCCTATAGTCCCAGCCACTTGGGAGGCTGAGGCAAGAGAATCACTTAAGCCCAAGAGTTTGAGGTTGCTGTGAGCTGTGACGCTACAGCACTCTACCGAGTGCAACACAATGAGACTCTGTCTCAAAAAAACAAACAAACAAAAAAACAAAAAAAACCCAAAACCAAAAAACAGCATTTACTAGCTGGGCAAGGTGACTCACACCTGTAATCCTAGCACTCTGGGAGGCTCAAGGTGGGAGGATTGCTTGAGTTCAGGAGTTCGAGACCAGCCTGAGCAAAGCAAGACCCTGTCTCCATTAAAGATAGAAAAATTGGCTCGGTGCCTGTGGCTCAAGTGGCTAAGGCGCCAGCCATGTACACCCAAGGTGGGGGGTTTGAATCCAGCCCAGGCCCGCCAAACAACAATGATGGCTGCAACCAAAAAATAGCCGGGCGTTGTGGCGGGCGCCTGTAGTCCCAGCTACTTGAGAGGTTGAGGCAAGAGACTCGCTTGAGCCCAGGAGTTGGAGGTTGCTGTGAGCTGTGATGCCACTGCACTCTATCCAGGGGGACAGCTTGAGGCTCTGTCTCAAAAAAAAAGAAAAATTAGCTGGGCGTTGTGGCACGACTCTGTAGTCCCAGCTACTGGAGATGGTGAGGCAGGAGGATCACTTTAGCCCAGGAGTTTGAAATTGCTATGGCACTCTAGTCTGGGTGACAGAGTGAGATTCTTGTCTCTAAAACAAACACAAAAACCAGCATTGGCTTTCTTAGTGGATTTCTGAGAGTCAAAAATCTAGGAGTGGCTTAGCAGAATAGTTAGGACTCAGGGTCTCTCATAAGGTTGCAATCAAGATGTCAGCTGGGGCTACCCTCATTCTGAAAGCTTGAGTGGAAATGAAGGATCCACTTCTAAAATAGTTTACTGTCACGGTGGTTGGCTGAAGACCTCATTTCCTTTCCATGTGCACCTCTCCTTAGTGCTGCTTGGGTGTTAAGTCATAGCAGACAACTTCTTTCAGAGCCCAAGAGACAGAGCTACTCAAAAGCCACTGTTTTTTTTTTTTTGAGATAGAGTCTCACTTTGTCACTCAGGCCACAGTGCAATGGTGTGATCATAGCTCACTGCAACCTCCAGTTCCTGGGCTCAAGCAATCCTCCTGCCTCAGCATCTAAAGTAGCTGCTAATATGGGTGCCCAACACCACGCCCAGCTAATTTTTTCTACTTTGACTAGAGATGGGGTCTTGCTTTTGATCAAGCTGGTCTCAAACTCCTGACCTCAAGCAATCCTCTGGCCTTAGCTTCCCAGAGTGCTAGGATTATAGGCATAAGCCACCTATACCCCCAGCCCACAATATCTTTTATGACCTAGCCTTGTTAAGTCACACACCCCCCCATCATTTCTGCCATATTCTATTGGTCATGAAGAGCAGCCCCAGGACACTGGAATGGGACTACCCAGGGGATTAAGTACTGGGAGGCAGGGATTGTGGAAGCCCTCTTGAAGGCTGGTTACCACATTCATTGGGTATTGACTGTATGCTAACTATTGTAGTAGTAGCTAACACGGGCTTAGAACATAGCAATACATTTTGTCAGGTGGTGCCTGTGGCTCAAAGGAGTAGGGCGCCAGCCCCATATGCCATAGGTGGTGGGTTCAAACCCAGCCCCAGCCAAAAACTGCAAAAGAAAAAAAAACAGGTGGCACCTGTGGCTTAAAGGAATAGGGCACCGGCCCCATATGCTGGAGGTGGTGGGTTCAAACCCAGCCCTGGCCAAAAACTGCAAAAAAAAGAAAAAAAAATACATTCTATCAGCCTCAGCCCACTGCCTGACACAGTGTCCACAAGAGGGAAGGTCTTTCTAAAGGCTCTCAAGCTTTTAGAAGCTCCACCTCTTAGTTGTTTATGTGAACTTGGGCAAGTTACTTAGATTTCTAAGATGAAGAACCTTGGCCTCTTCATCTGCACAATGGGGACCACGACCTCAGTGAACTGCTATGAGGTTTAACTGAATGAACATTTGGAAAGTGCTTAGAACTAGAGTGCATTGGTAGTGTTTATACAGCGTGTGTTAAGTATTAAATTAAGGTCTGTTCCACGTATCCACCCCCACCATACCTACTTTGCAGATGAAAAAATTGAATCACAGTGAGGTTAAACTTAACAAACATGACAGATGGTTAGTAGTGGAACCAGGATTTGAACCTAGACAGTCTGGCTTCAGAGACTGGGCTCTTTTTTTTTTTTTTTGAGACAGAGCCTCAAGCTATCCCCCTGGGTAAAGTGCTATGGCATCACAGCTCACAGCAACCTCCAACTCCTGGGCTCAAGCAAGTCTCCTGCCTCAGCCTCCCAAGTAGCTGGAACTACAGGAACCCAACACAATGCCCAGCCATTTTTTGGTTGCAGCCATTGTTGTTTGGAGGGCCTGGGCTGGGGATTCAAACCCACCACCTTAGGTATATGTGGCTGGCGCCTTAGCTGCTTGAGCTACAGGCGCCGAGACCGGAGCCTGGGCTCTTAACCACAGCCACAGGCTAAACAGAAAAATAAAAAGCACAGAGCTCTTGCAGAGCCTCGTTCCATAGCTGGGCTGGGCTGCTGGGAGGCATGATGGGGAGTGTTGAGCCTCAAAAGACATGCTGAGCTCTAATCAGCCTCTCTGTTCTCTCTGCATGCAGAAGGCGGTGAGTTGTCCTGGCAGTGCTGCCCAAGACCCTGCACTGGGACCTGCTGAGGGTGGGGAAGCTGGTGCTCTGGGCCTGATGTACACACCCTCTGCCCCCTGACAGAAGGAGGAAAGGGCTCCATCTCCCCCTGTGGAGGTGGACGAACCCCAGGAGTTTGTGCTCCGGCCTGCTCCCCAGGGCCGGACGGTTCGTTGCCGGCTGACTCGGGACAAGAAGGGCATGGACCGGGGCATGTACCCCTCCTACTTCCTGCACCTGGACACGGAGAAGAAGGTGGGTAGGCGGGACAGCAGAAGTTCCATGACCCAGGCTGAGGGAGGGTCTGGGGCCAGGATGTTGCCATGGGACAAACAGGCCTTCTCTTTTCCCAAGCCCCACCTCCATCCTCCCTCATCTTCCCTTCTCATCCTCTACTTGTCACCCTTGTCTCCAGGTGTTCCTCTTGGCTGGCAGGAAACGGAAACGGAGCAAGACAGCCAATTACCTCATCTCCAGTGACCCTACCAACCTGTCCCGGGGAGGGGAGAATTTCATTGGGAAGCTGAGGTGGGTCTGAGTTTTCTGGTGGGCTTGGGTCAGCAAGAGTACCATAGCTAGTCACCTCTGTCCTGTTGTGCCTGGCAGAGTGCCCACCACATTGGACACTCTGGAAATGCACCCTTACCCAGGGCCTCTCACACTTTGATGTGCGTAGATCACAGGGGAATCTTGTTGAAATGGTTCAGTGAGTCTGCAGTGGGCTTGAGATTCTGCATTTCTAGCGAGCACTCCTGTGATCCCCACAGCTGTCCAGGGCCCTCACTTGCAGTTGAGCATACATTCCCTTGTATGAATGGGACCATCCCTTGTTTATGCTTGAATTCCTGGCACTTGGCATATATATATAAAATACCTACTCAACAAATTTACTGACTGAATGAATAAACAAATATTCAGCACTACTCTATGCTACCTCTTCTAAACCCCACCACAAAACTGAGAGGTCAGGGGGTGAGTAAACCCTGAGCAGGGTTTATTTCTTTTATTTATTTATTTATTATTTTATTTATTTATTCTTGAGACAGAGTTTCGGCTTGGTGCCTGTGGCTCAAGTGGCTAAGGCACCAGCCACATACACCTAAGGTGGTGGGTTAGAATCCAGCCCAGGCCCGGCAAACAACAATGGCTGCAACCAAAAAATGGCCAGGCATTGTGGCGGGCACCTGTGGTCCCAGCTACTTGGGAGGCTGAGGCAGGAGACTTGCTTGAGCCCAGGAGTTGGAGGTTGCTGTGAGCTGTGATGCCATAGCACTTTACCCAGGGGGATAGCTTGAGCCCAGTCTCTGAAGCCAGAGGCTGAGGCAGGAGACTTGCTTGAGCCCAGGAGCTGGAGGTTGCTATGAGCTGTGATGTGACAGCACTCTACCCAGGAGAATAGCTTGAGGCTCTGTCTCAAAAAAAAAAGACAGAGTATCATGTTGCCCTCGATAGAGTACCACAGCGTCACAGCTCACAGCAACCTCAAACTCTTGGGCTTAAGCAACTCTCTTGCCTCAGCCTCCCAAGTATCTGGGACTATAGGCCCCCACCACAAGGCCTGGTTATTATTTTGTTGCACTTCTCATTGTTGTTTAGCTGGCCTGGGTCATGTTTGAACCTATCAGTCTTGGTCCAAGTGGCCAGCACCGTAACCACTGTGCTACGGGTGCCAAGCCTATTTTTTTTATTTATGTATTTAATAAAACTTAAATTTTTTTTTGTAGAGACATAGTCTCACTTTAAAGCCCTAGGTAGAGTGCCGTGGCGTCACACAGCTCACAGCAACTTCCAACTCCTAGGCTTAGGTGATTCTCTTGCCTCAATCTCCCGAGCAGCTGGGACTACAGGTGCCCACCACAATGCCCAGCTACTTTTTTTTTTGCAGTTTTTGGCTGGGGCTGGGTTTGAACCCGCCACCTCCTGTATATGGGACCAGTGCCCTACTCCTTTAAGCCACAGATGCCACCCACACCTGGCTATTTTTTTGTTGCAGTTTGGCCAGGACAGGGCTTGAACCCGCCACCCTCAGTATATGGGGCCGGCGCCCTACCCACTGAGCCACAGGCATCGCCCATATTTAATAAAACTTTTATAAGGCCTGCCTATGTGTCAGACATGGTTCTAAGTAACCTATTTAGGGTTAAACTATTTAATCCTCTTATCACCCAAATAAGGTTTTTTTTTCCAAGAGTTTCCCCCATTTTATAGTTGGAGTTGAGGCTCAGAGAGTTTAAGTAACTAGGCTAGGGTCCCACAGCTAGTAAGAGATGGAGCTAGGATTTGAACACTGCCCAGTCTTCTTGTAGGTCCAGCTTTTTTTTTTTCCTCTTGAGACACAGCCTCAAGCTATCCCCCTGGGTAGAGTGCTGTGGCATCATAGCTCACAGCAACCTCCAACTCCTGGGCTCAAGCGAGTCTCCTGCCTCTGGCCTCCCAAGTAGCTGGGACCACTGGCGCCCGCCACAACGCCTGGCTATTTTTTTGGTTGCAGCCGTCATTGTTGTTTTTTGGCGGGCCCAGGCTGGATTCGAACCTGCCACCTTAGGTGTATGTGGCTGGCGCCTTAGCCACTTGAGCCACAGGCACCAGCCAGGTCCAACTTTTAAAATGACCTCCCCATCGAGGGAAGCCTGGCGCTGGGGACAAGAATTGCTTGCTCCCAGGACATCTCCACCTTTGATGCAAGCAGCTCTCAAAACTGCTTGACTGTGCAGAAGGATCTTGGGGCAGGGATGTGGAATTCCCCTCAGCCCCAGCCTCAGCTTCACCCTGCTTGCAGGTCCAACCTCCTGGGGAACCGCTTTACTGTCTTTGACAATGGGCAGAACCCCCAGCGTGGAGGCGGCTCTGATGTGGAGAGCCTTCGACAGGAGCTGGCAGCAGTGATCTATGTAAGAACTCTGCCCGTCCTATATGCCGGGCCTTTTCCATTATAGTGGCCAGCCTAATAGGTATCTCCCTCCCAGGAAACAAATGTGCTGGGCTTCCGTGGTCCCCGGCGCATGACAGTCATCATTCCGGGCATGAATTCGGACAATGAGAGGGTCCCCATCCGGCCCCGAAACGTGAGCCCTGCATCTCCCTGACTCCTGTCCATGAGGGTCCTGCTACCTATGTAACCCACTCTAGGGGAGCAATGGGTGGGGGACTCAGCTTACCCAATACCCAACCCCTACACACACCCATCGCCCTCCAGCACAGTGGTTCTCAACCTTCCTAATGCGGCAACCCTTTAATACAGTTCCTCATGTTGTGGTGACCCCAACCATAAAATTATTTTCGTTACTACTTCATTAACTGTAATTTTGCTACTGTTATGAATTGTATGAATCATATGAATCAATCCCTGTGAAAGGGTCGTTCAACCCCCAAAGGGGTTGCGACCCACAGGTTGAGAACCGCTGCAGCACAAATTCATTCTGGCAACCAGTGGAATGGATTTGGGAGTTTTATTATTGAATTCACTGAAATAATCACAATGGGCTTTTGGGCTTTTTTCAGAGTTTAAATCAAATTCATCTATTACATTCATTTATATATCCACTGAACACACATACTGAGTGCCAAGTATCATTCTGGACACCTGGAAGACATCAGAAGCTGGCATTCTAGTGAAAGAAGACAGACAGGAGATGATAATCATGATAAATAAGTAATCTATGGAGTGTTTGGTGATAAGGACTATGGGGAAAAGTCAAACAGGAACAGGAGATGACAAGTGTGTGTGTGTAGGCTTTGATATTAAATACAGTGGTCAGAGTGGGCCTCTGGAACAATGAGGCAGGGAGCCTACAGATAGATGAAGGGCATCCAGGAAAAGGGAAGAGCCGGTGCAAAACCCCTGTGACAGGAGGGTGTCTGGGTGTTGGAGAGAGATCAGGTCAGATAGGGCCTGTATAACCGGTTTTTACTCTGGGAGAAATGAGAAGCCATAGCAGGGTTTTGAGCAAAGGAATTACATGACTTCTGTTTTAAAAAGCAAAAATTGTTTTGTGTATGTATGTGAGACAAAGAACAAGATGAAGAGATGCCCTGGAGAGACATGACCTCTCTCAGAGCATCAGTCCTGTGCTCTGCTAGAACTGCTGGGCAGATGAGCCCAGGATGACTTGCACACCCCATACTAACAGGAGGCTGATGTCACTGTACTCATTTACAATGAAAAGTAATACCCCTGTCAGCTGATCACATGTCCTTCCCTGCTGGAAAGTCATGCCATAATCAGAGGCCAGGTTGACCTGGGGACACCAGCCACGGGAGGCCTGGTCTTGAGGGTTCACTTGGCCTGTGGGTCCTACAGTTGCTCCTTCCATGCCTGGATAAACACAAATCCTCCAGAGGCAGTGCCTCCTTTCCTTTTGGGGATTGGTAAGAACTATGTGGTGCTGCTTTAGGTCTCTCTTCATCATCCCACAGTTCATTCATTCTATAAAACATTCACTAAACACACACTCTGTGCCACACACTGGAGATCCAAAATCAACTTGATAAGGTAATATCTGGTATTTACTGAGCACCTAACTCTGTGCCAGGAATTGCTCTAAGTAACAATGCATGTGCTATTAATTTATTAACTCCTCACAGCATCCTATTGTGAGGGAAACTGAGGCAGGCACACAAATGTAACAAAGTACTATTATTAGCCTTAGAGTATCTAATTCTCTCAATCACAGTGCAGGGGTAGGAATGGTAAGAGCAAGATGTCATGGAAGCTTAGGCCTGAGGCATCTAAGTTAGCTGTGGAGTCAGGAAGGCTTCTTGGAGGAGGTAATCTTGAGTGGACTCACTCTAAGCCAGGAACAGGTGACAAGGAAACTCAGGAAAAAAAATATCTGAAGAGCGCCATTATACAGACACTGGGCCTTCCTTTCAGAAACTCTCCTCTAAGGACCTTTCTTTTACCTACCCATCTCCCTCCCCAAACTCAACTGTGTGCTCCTCTTAGATCTTTTCTTCTTTGCCGAGACAGTCTTATTCTGTCCCCTGGCTAGAGTGCAGTGGTATCATCATAGCTCACTGCAACCTCAAATTCCTAGGCTCAAGGGATCTCCTTCCTAGAGTGCAAGGATTACAGGTGTGAGCCTCTCCTCCCAGGTGGAAGTCTTGAATTATCTGTTTATAATTACATGCTGTGTGGCCATCTCCTAAGACCACTTGATACCAAAGGCATAAAGCACCTACTGTGTACCACATGCCCCTTTCCATTTTCCAGCCCTCCACTTTAGCATCCCACAGACAAAGCCTCATTTTCACAGACATGCACCCTGTCCACAAGGACACCACAGATGCCAAGCATGCTCTTGAAGATACCCTGAATGGATGTTGATCTCCAGGCTGCATACTGCACACACATGCAAGGACATGCACAGGTGCCCAGGCCCCTTCTCTGGTCAGTCCTAAGCAATCATGGCCACCTCTAACTGCCCTGTCCTTATTTACTCCCCCTCCGGAAACCCCAGGCCAGCGACGGGCTACTGGTGCGCTGGCAGAACAAGACACTGGAGAGTCTCATTGAACTGCACAACAAGCCCCCTGTATGGAATGAAGACAGTGGCTCCTATACCCTCAACTTCCAAGGCCGGGTCACCCAGGCCTCAGTAAAGAACTTCCAGATTGTCCACGCTGATGACTGTGAGTATCTGACGGCCTAGGGCAGGCTCTTTCCCACCATCTGCAGGACCCCTACATTTTTTTTTTTTTTTTTGAGACAGTCTCATTATGTCACCCTCAGTAGTATGCTGTGGCATCACAGCTCACAGCAACCTCAAACTCTTGGACTTAAGTGATTCTCTTGCCTCAGCCTCCCAAGTAGCTGCAACCACAGGTGCTTGCTACAAAGCCTGGCTATTTTCCTGTTGTTGTTGTCATTATTATTTAGCAGGCTCCGGCTGGGTACAAACCCACCAGCCAGCCCCAGTGCATGTGTCTGGCACTTTAACCACTGAACTATAGGCGAGCTATAGGCGCTGAGCCCGGACCCCTACTGTCACTGGAGCTTCCTCACGACCCTTTCCCTTTCTCTCACACATAACTAGCTTGCCCTGAAATTTACCTTGGAACTGGGACATCCAGCAAGGTCACTCTCTTCTCCATAGGCATTGACTCTATGCTCCCAGAAGACTTAGATACTCCAAGCAGGTGTCTTGGGGCCCATTGTTCCAGGTTCCCATTCCAACACTGACCAAGGCAGTGAAGTAATACTGAGACAAATTGGGCAACTCTGTGTTTTTTTTTTGGCCGGGGCCGAGTTTGAACCCGCCACCTCTGGCATATGGGGCTGGCGCCCTACTCCTTGAGCCATAGGTGCCGCCCGCAACTCTGTGTTGAAGGGAGATTTGAGCTGCTACTGTTTGAAAACCACCGAGAGCCCAACCCCTTTGAGGTCTAAGAGGGTACTGAGGCCCAGAGAGGGCAGCCTTTTACCCAAAATTTCTTGGCTTCTCTGGGCAGTTATATTAGCCCTCAAAATTTATTTCACAAAACTTATACAGTGGCTTCTATGTAGCAAACACTGTTCTCAGGATCTTATAGATATTGAATCACTAAATCCCTTCAACAATGCTGAAGAAGGTATTATTATTCCTATTTGGCAGATGAGAAAATTGAGGCACAGAGAGCTTAAGTTACTTGCCCAAGGTCACACAGCTAATAAGAGGTAGAGCTGGGATTAGAACCCTGGAAGTCTGGCTACAGGGCCCATGCTCTTAACCCCTTCAAAATGGTTGCCTTTGGCTCCATGCCCATAGCTCAATGAGTAGGGCCCCAGCCACATACACCAAAGCTGGTGGGTTCGAGCCCAGCTGGGGCCTGCTAAACAACAATGACTACAACCAAAAAATAACCAGGCATTGTGGTGGGCATTGGTAATCCCAGCTACTTGGAAGGCTGAGGCAAGAGAATAGCTTAAGCCCAAGAGTTTGAGGTTGCTGTCAGCTGTGACACCACGGCACTCTACCAACAGTGACACAGTCTCAAGACTCTGTCTCAAGGCTCGGAGCCTGTGGCTCAAGCAGCTAAGGCGCCAGCCACATACACCTAAGGTGGGGGGTTCGAATCCCCAGCCCGGGCCTGCCAAACAACAATGATGCCTGCAACCAAAAAATGGCCAGGCGTTGTGGCCAGCGCCTGTAGTCCCAGCTACTTGGGAGGCTGAGGCAGGAGACTCGCTTGAGCCCAGGAGTTGGAGGTTGCTGTGAGCGTGATGCCATGG